TTTTAGTATTTAGCCTTGAAATAATTCAGTGATGCACAACTAATGAAGCAGAGGAATGACTGGAGAGATGGCATTTTAGGTGAATCACAGCTCATTCCACAAATTATTTATAGACTGCTCTCACTCTGTGACAGGGTGTCAGTGACCTGGCAACAGGCCTGAGTGTTTACGAATCATCTCATAGACTTATTGTGGTTTCTAGATGAGGGCAAAAGAGATTAAGGGAGGTTCACTTTGTATCTTTTCATAAGAAATAAGTAATCTCCATTCTGCTGAAAAATAGATCTCTCTGGTCCCATTTGGTGCATGGTTAATAAACCTGCCCATGATCAGAAGGGAAAGTTAATAACTAACACCGCTTTACTCTTGTTGTAAAGTATAACCTGCTGACTAGAGGTTTGAATTCTTTAATCATGCTTTCCTCTTTCATCTTCAGTCTCTTTACGTGACAACTCAGTGCCATTTTACAATTCATCATTTCAGAGTCCAAATCAGGAGTACTATGATGAATCAGGTTGCCCTGCATCAGGATGCTCAACTGCCTAAGAAAGAAGTTGTAAATCTATTAACTGAGAGCACTAGATGCTGCAAAACTAACAGACAAAAAGCTCAATACTTCCTCTGTCCTCACCATTATGTAGCATGGCTTCTATTTCTGAGTCAAAGCAATCACTGCAATGTGCTCTGCAAGCCCAGACTGAAATGAACACACCTGTGACTGTTAATATATTTAGCTCTGTTATCAGAAAAATGTTGCATGTCCTTGTGTGGACACTTGTGCTTGCAGGAAATAAAGGTCCCATTCAGTCCTCTGGAGAGGTTTGTAGGTGCTGAGTGGGGTGCTGTGCAGTGTGAGCAACAGCAGCATGGTTTAATGGATGCTAAAGTGGGTAGAAAGAACTGCATCAATTAGATGTTAAGTTTTATTAGACATAACTTGGTGACACCAGCAAAATTGACATTTCCATATAATTATGGCCTTGCTCAATCAGAACATCAACAAATAAAGTGTTAAATTAACTTCCATTCTTGTTAGTGTACCTTTCTCGAAACATGGATTGTTTTAAAGTGTGCAGCTGCACATGTTACATTCACATAATAAAGCAAACAAATTTCAAATTTAGGAAAAAAATAAAACAAATGATGTTAATACAAGAAGTATATTTACAGACAATGAAGTTCACAGCTGCTCAAAGAACCTCCCAGGGCTCCATGGTCATTCAAGTCATACTTCCCCATTCTGGAGTTATATGGGCCTGGTACTGATCTTTGGTAAGAGGAAACTTCTCAGAGTTTGCAGCACAAAGAATCTTATTTTCTTGTTTAAGAGTTATGAACTGGTCCAGTGGTGGATTCTATAGAAAGCAAAGCACAGAAACTAAGTGTAATACCAGAGGCAGTATCAGAATCCAGAACTTTCCAGCTGCCTAATTTTTTTTTAAATCTGGAAGTACAGTGCCAAGCTGAAACTTGTCTCTGCTATCAGCTGACTACCTAGTTGTGATGGTTCTGTGAAGAACTGGATTGTTTTCACTTTTTGCTTTCATTCCTATTGATCTCTAGCTGCCTCTAGGACATAGGAACATGTCACAGGCTTCCCTGGTTTATCTTGCACATTCCACGAGTAGCAGAGTGGCTTTGACTGTTTTACCCACTGGGAATGGATACAAAAGGACAACCAGGGAGCATCAGACACAAACCAAGACTGAAACATCCATTTCAAAGCCTCATGTGGGTTTTGTACAGGGATGAACTTCTTTCTTATGTCTTTGAAGGCCAAAGAACTGTAATGCAAACTGGACAGTAATTAAAAGCAAATAAGCATTTTCCAGAATTGTATCTCATGAGGAAAAAGACTGTGTTAGGCTCCACTTCTATGGCTTATTTTCACAAGCTCAGTCTAAGGCACACCTACATTCTGTGCCTACATGCAGAGGAGTGGGATTCAGACTTGCTCATATCAACTTAGCAGTAGTGCTGCTGCTGCAGCCCCAGCCTGCTCCAAAGCAGCACCATATTAATGCAGCTTCACTGCTTTCAGGCCCAAGGAAACCACGGGGATACAGCAAGACAAATCAACATGTCAAACGAGCATCAGCTCAGTCAGTAAGTGTCCTCATATCCCACCACTTGACAGTAATCTGCCATGAGTTGTCTTCAGCCTCTTATTCATTTTCACACCTATTATACCTGCATGAATGCAGGATTTTCAGAGGAACAAGGCAGTTTAGAGTGAGGCATCCTGAGTAATGGCTTTCTTTTGGCAACAGAAGCAATATTTATCTAAAGAAACAGTCCAGTCACTGGGCTGACTTGCTTGTTGTAAGTTGGTGTTACACACAGAGTAGCTTGTTTCAATTATTCTTCACGATAACTCAGGAAATAGTAGTTCAGATGATGCTGTCAGGGAAAAGCAAATCACCCTGAGTTATTTGTTAAAAAGCTTTGGAAATTTTTCTGTTTCCTTTCCAGTGTGCTCTCTCTGCTCCAGTGGTTGGCAGCATTATTAACACAGAGACCTTTTCTCAAGCAGTTGTTTACACCAGAAATTTAAGTTTACATGGGCAGGTCAAGAGCATCCATCAGTTGACAGGAGGAGCACCATGGGATCCTCTACCCACATGAACTCTAATAAGCCAGGCTCAGACAGAAATCCCTGCTTCAGGACTCAGCTCCTTCACATGGAGTAAAATTTGGGAACCCACAGGAAAAGAACAGGATTCATTCAGGTAAATTATTCCCTTACATCCATAATATATTTGCTATGAGACAAAGGGGACACTCACACCTTTACAAAAGCCTGGCAAAGGTTCAAGCATCAGTTTGTTCCTACTGCAACCCTACTTCAAGATTGTATCAAAGATCAGGCATTTTTGTTCTGGGTCTCTGCAGGAGAAGGTCTCACAAGCAGTGACATAAAAATGTGGAAAAGGAAATGTCAAACAAATGGAAAGCTCTTCTGACTCTTTAGAGAAAAAACCCCCCGATTTAATATTTGCTGACAGGATAAATGTACTTGTTAATGCTGCTGACTCCACAGCAGTGAAATATATAAGTAATAGCATTCTGTAGTGTTAGAAATCATAGACAGAACTGTCTCTACTTATGTTTTACAACCATTTTGAAAGATATGGCATCTACAGCTGCATTGGATGCAATCCTCTGGCCACACTTTGTTCCCAGCACATCCCCCACACCATACATACCAGGGGCTCCCATCTCACACTCACATCAATGCCAGGCATTTTCGACATCACCACACACCCCAATAAAAACTCCAGTGACAGGCATATTTTATTTAATGCTAACTTATATAGTGGCTAAGAGGAGATTAATAGAAAAGAAATGCCTTGGGAAAGAAATGAGTTGTCTGTAGGACAGGATTTTTCTTTTACTTTCACTGGAAAGCAGAAAAGTGCTGCAGAAACTGGTCTTGTCTGACTAGTCATCCTCAGCTGCCCATAGTTTCAGGGACAACAAGAAACCCCCAAATGCTTCTATTTATTCCATGTGCATTGTTTGTTTTGAGGTTTGAGGGGTTTTGTTGGTGGTTTTTTTTAGGTTGTTTCGTGTGTGTGTGTGTGTTCTTTTGTGGTGGTTGTTGTGTGGGTTTGTAGTTGGTTTTTTGTAGTTAGTTGTTTTTTTAATCCAGTGCAATAATGCCTACAATCAATGCTTTCAAATTGCCTATTCTGGAAGTCTGCCACAGTTACTTTAAAGGAACTATCCAGAAATACAGAGTTTGTTTATTTAAAAGTCTTTTGGGAAATCATTACTGCTCCTGGTGGAGTATCTCAAATATTGCAATTCTAAGGCACAACAGGCTATTTAGGAGATATTTTAATCCTCTAAAAATAAAGGAATATCCAGTTTTCTATAGGAAAATAAGCCACAGGAAGGAATTCCTCAATTATGGTTATTTTTACTTAAGTCCTTCCTTTAGTGTCACTAGCACCATTCAGAAAGCAAAAATAACCAAGTCAATCTATTTTGAATATTTGGCACCACACTACTGTAAAACAGAAAACAAAGGTAACACAAACCAGTATTGGTGAACTTCCTCTTGTCAGCTTACTTCATATAATTAGTAGCATTCCTAAAACTCAAGTCCTGTGCAGTGCTATATCACCTTCTCTCCAGAGAGTTTTAAAGCATTCTCAAGGTCATGAAGGTCTTACCTTCAGCTCACCACTGCCTGGCAGAGACATGGAAAGGCAACAGCTGGTGTTGAAGGCTGTGGTTACCAAAGAACCACTCCAACCACTAAGTGATACTGACTCCCCACAAAATGCCTTTAAAACACATTAGTAAACATGTTAGTCTCTTAATCACACCTTAGGAAGATCCCCTGAACTTGACAAATCACTTGTAATTAAGTAGCTTCCAGGCAGTAGAAGCAAATCCTGTTTATTCTGAGGCATCAGCAAAGAACGTGACAGCACCATGGAACTGCAGGTAGGTCAGCCTTGAGTAGCACATAAGGCAACTGTGGGTACTTGTTAAATCCAAGGCAATCTGTGTAGTCAAGAGAGACATAAATCACTTAGAATCTGCTGATCATCAGCCTCCAGCCTATGCCTCCTTTGTCATCTGTGAATATCTGTGAGACAGGTGCTATTTTCAAACTGTATTCCCAAAATGCTTTCCAGTTTGGTGCACATGAGAATGAATATCAAAGCTGAAAGCACTCCAGCCTGGAAACTACCAGTAGCAAGGAATAGGTGATGATACAAAACCTGGAACCAAGTAAAAGCAGGTATCTCTACACAGGCACAAAAGGAGGGAATCTAATTTGTACATCTCTCCTGGGGCAGTTAATGGTCCTAGTGCAATCTGGAGACACATCTGTGAAAATCTGGGAGGGAATGAGGAGTGGGTAGATGTCAGAGTAGTATTTAACAAAGTCCAGAAGGGCTCATTTTTTATGCCTGAACCTGTCTCATGCACGAAGTGAAGTGTGTGGCCTACATCCCCTACGGCTGACCCTTGATTCAGGTGCATTATTCAGCCTGCTTGGGCACCCAGGTGAGTCTCCATCCTCCATCGTTATCCCTGCGCACAAAGGCTTGTCCTTGGTGGAAGGTGTGTGTCCTCACATTGCGGTGAGGACTTAGAGATGTTGTGAAGGCCACTTCTGTTTTGTTGGGTGACAAATCACCAGTCAAATAAGGCAAGTCATAGGCCGGGAGGGAGGAAACACTTGGCACTGATGAGGAGACACACGGTGCTGAAGAAAACTGAGGAAGGAAGGGAGAGTCCTCACTGCATGGATGGGTACTGCTGTTAGCTGGAGGCACGTGGCTGCAGGTAAATGCTGCTGCTGCTGCTGCTTCACTGTGGTCATAGTCTATTGCTTCACCAGGGCTCAGGCAATATGTGTCTTTTCCAAGGTCTGAGGACAGGGCACTGTAGTTAGCTGAAGTTTCATCAATGGTGTTGACATCTTTTAACCCTAAGGTCTGCAAGACCCAGCTGTCCACAGCAGGGCTGGCTTGCTCTTCACAGGCAGTGAATTCATTAAAGAGGTTCCTTCTAGCTTTAGAAGCATGAGGAGTTTCTTGAGGAACATAGCTGTGGTCCTCTTTTAATCTCCTCTTGGTGCTTCTGAGAATAGCACAGGATTTCTGTCCATGGCAAGATAGCAGTTTCTATGAAAACAAACAAACAACAAAACAAACAAAAAAAACGAAGTGGAGAGAGAAGATTAACATCTGAATTTCTCATTACCTGAAAGCAACATATTTCTGACCTCAGATTTTAGAGGCACAAGATGGTTACTACTCTCCTTATAAAAGATACTTTTTCTTCCACACATGCTTAAGCATGTTGATATGTTGATATTGACCATGTCAATGCTTTGATGACATTCTCACTCAGTATGGCATGAAACACAAGTTCCCACCTGGCTGTATGGCACTTTGTGCCACTGTGCCAGCAGTGCTCAGTGGTGAGTGGGGAATGAGGGGGGAATGTGCCAGCCTGAAAAAGAGGGAGGATACAAAGCTAAGTCACACTGGGGCAGGTGTGATCCTGGCCAGGGAGTGCTCAGAGTAGCAGACTGAGTGGAGTTGTACTCATTAATTCACCTCAGTGGTCATTATCTCAAGACAAGGGTCCTTCAGGCACCCAGAGATGGCCAAAGGAAGCTACAAATAAACAAGAAAGCTCCCCAACATGTCATCAATCCACTGCTCAGATACCTCCTGTGATGGCTTCACACTGGACCCTTCTCCACATGACACAGTGGGTGGCTGTGTCTCCCTGCTGTGCCCAGTGAAGGAGACCTTCACTGTCAGAAGCCACGTGTTGGTATGGGAGGGAGGACAGGTCACACTATCAGCTCATCAATAGGATGGAAAAGGAAATTGTGCTATTTTTTACAGTCTTTTTATTCTCACATCCAATCCACAGAGCTGAGTGAATAATCAATAGTTCAATTTCACAGACAAGACCGGAACAGCAAAAAATGTCTTTAAGCTGGCAAGAAACAATTCTCTTTATTTTCTTGAAGATGAGAGACAAAGAATCAAAATATTAAAAAAACCCCAACAACTCTTCACACTTAGTTTAACAGAATGTTGCATCCAACCTGGAATGTTTACCCCACACAACTTTTACATTGATAAATTAAAAAAAAATAGATGATCAATCTTCTAATGTGAACTAATAAAACATATCACTGGAAAAACACAAAACAAAATATAAACCAGAATGCACCAAAAAAATAGGAAGAGAAGGAAAAAATCCTTATTAAAGGGATAATTGTCAAAACAGACAGATTCAACAAAAAAATATGTGTTCAAATTTGAATTGTTTACTGAAAAAAAAGCTCATTAGATTTACCTTGCTTATAATCTTAACTTACTTATACCTAACTAATAAACTAAACCTAATTATGTCATGGGCTATACTGTCTCCACAGTCAGAAACTGATAGGATGTCATTCCTGGAGGAAACTGTCACCTCAGATCCATAGCCAGCAATCTGGCAACTTTGTGAAGCTGAATCTCCCACTGCAGGTTGTCTACACTCTTAGACTTTCTGTATGTTTTAATGGCCTGTACCTATTCAACCTGTTCCTTCTGCACACATCTATACAACACGTTTGAGCACAATACCTTGGCTTTTTCTTCTAAACACTTAATCAGAGCAGAATTCAGGTATTGTCGCAGGTTATTATTTTCTTCATGTAACCTAGCAAGTTCCTCTTCCTTCTGAAGCAAAGTATCTTGAAGCTGTGGAATAGAGATATTGATGAATAGATGTTGACTCTGTAACTCAATAGCAATTGCCCTATGGTACAAACTGCTTGGATTTGATGATCTGGGTGTTTGTTTTGTGAGCTCAACCCACCCCCTCCAGCCTCTTTTCTCTATAAATCTAAGTGGTATGACTGTTCAGTTTTCACTTTTGACTTCCTTTAATCTTTAGCAAGTGTTTGAGAAGATTACTCTGAAAAAAACCCCCATAACCACGGAATAATAACAGAAAAGAATTAGAGGTAGCCTTGTGAGCAGCCAGAAACTGTCACGGGTGTGACAGCAGCTGCAGGATCTTCTCGAGTGGCAGTAAACATCCTTTTGCACCCCTTATTCCCATTTATAGTTGTCTGGTGCAGAAAAGAAGGAGGAGCTGCAGGCTAAGAATTTATGGGGTAGAGTGCAGCAGGGAGATGCAGTTGCCATTCTTTATGATACAGCAGTGCTCAGTAAGCACTTCAATCTTGGACCCCACAGTGCCAGTCCTGATATTTATACAGAGCTGAGATAATCCCTGGTCCCAATGGCTGAACAGGAATGGCAGATGCCTAACAGTTTTTCATGGGAAATCTATGAATTTGCAGCTGGATTTTTGCCCCCTGATCATAGATCTGGAGACTTGTTTAGGAGGACAAAGGATCTTCTGCTGAGGACCCCAGGTATCTGCTAAGCACAGGCTGGAAAGACAGACTTAAAAGATTGAGGTAGAGCCGAAGGAAGAAGTACACTGATGTCTGGAACTGGGGTTTGATTCCAATGACCTTTAAGTAAAATGAATTTTCATTGACTTCACTGTGTCACATCATTCCAAGTATTTGATCAGAGTCATCAATCTGGACTTCCTTCATCTAGGACTGTTCAGAATTTCTCCTGCCGCTGGTCAGGATTTACCAAAAAAAGGCAAGATGAGAGAAAATAAAGAAACAAGGAAATTCTTGTTGGTCAGAATGCTTGATCCTCCATAGAATTAGGCAATTCTGGTGAATCCTTTGCCATGCATTTTAACCTGGTGGAATCAGGAGGATACACACTATATGTTCTTAGTCAACAGCATCATCAGAGCTTGAAACACCCCCTGGTCATGCTCCTGGTTTTCTGTAGCACCAAGACAGCTGGTGCAAGATGCTGTTAGAGGTGAAGGATGAATAACAGTTCACAGGGCAACACGGGGGACAAAAATGCTTCCAAAAAAGGAACAAAACCCACCCAAATAAAGCAGTTTGCTGTCACTTCCCAGATGAGCGGGTAGGTGAGACATTGCACAGCCAAGGTGCGGTA